ACGAAATGGAGAACGTAGCTAAGCATGCTGAGCCTCAAAGAAAGAAGACTTAGGAGGACCATGAAGACTGATGGGAAAAGAGCTTTGTTCTACTGGGTCCTAGAAGACAGGCTCTCAAGGTGCAGGGGAGAGTGGCTAAGAAGCAGCTTTTGACTCCACAGAAGAACTGAGAGCTGTCTGAAAATGAGATGGGCTGCTGTGGAAGGTAGTGAGCTCACCATCAACAAAGGGTTACCAGTAAAAGCTGGAGGATTCTGAGGCTCTGCACCCATCACCTACTTAATAGCGCTGTCCTGAGAGAGGCACCTGGTGAACTCTAAGGTGCCGGGGAGGTACAGGGACGAAGGCAAGGATGGTGGCGATGCCAGAGGGAAGGCTTTGGTCTGCACTTCTGCTGGAGTCAGGCTTCTGGCCACCACCAAGGCTGAACACCAAGAGAAAACTCAGGTGGGCCCAAAGTGCGGTTTGATACGGATGAGCATCCGATGAACCTGCTCATTTCTGGGCTGGGCCTGGCCAAGACACCCCACAGACAGGCGGGCACAGAGAGCCAAGGGCTGGAAAAAGCAGCAGCTGCCTCACCTGCGCTGGGGCCCTTCCCCTCTCTCCTCTGCCTGCATGCTGGCCCCAAATGAGGCCAAAACCGTCCAGCCAAGGGGAAGCCTGCCCCAACCACGTGCAGGCCACTCTTTTGCTTTTTTTTTTGGGGGGGGTAGGCAATTAGGATTAAGTGACTTGCCCAGGGTCACACAGCTAGTAAGTGTCAAGTGTTTGGTCTGAGGCCGGATTTGAACTCAGGTCTTCCTGACTTCAGGGCCGGTGCTCTATCCACTGCGCCACCTAGCTGCCCCTTCTTTTGCCTTTTTCTTAGTTAGGTTCCAAAGTACATAAAATTAATTCATGAGTGAATAACCCAAGCACAAGACCTGTGCTAGATGAAGCGACCCCCCAGCAAAGGGAAGTGCAGGCAGGAGGCAAAGGGCCACCAGGCTGGTTTTGCCAGGGGCTTCCAAGAATCTTGAGTCTGCCCAAGCCTGGCCCTAAGAATGAGAAATGAACTAAACAGGAAAGATGGGTGTCCTTGGAATCCCCCTCACTGCCCCAGGCTAGGCAGGAGCAAGGAAACAGAACACAACTGAACACCTTAGAAAACCCTACACTGTCTCAGCTGGAAGAGGACTTGGAGGTGAACGAGTCCATCCAACCAAGATTCCTCATTTTACAGATGAGGAAATTGAGGCCTGTAAAAGACACATCCATCCACAGTCTCACATAGTAGGGAGCAGCACATGCACCATTCAAAGCCAGGACCCCTGAATGCCACCACACAGCACATGATCGTATCTTAAGAAGGAAACTGCCACACTGGGGCAAACAAGACGGCAAGGGGGCCTAGAGCTATGTCAGGTCACTTCAGGACAGACACAAGCCACGACTACAGACTTGTAAGTGTCTAAAGGATCAGAAGCTGGGCAAGGGATCACTTCTCCTCTGCTTAGCCCCACAGGGCAGGACCAGGGCAAAGGGGGAAACTACAGTGAGGTGGATGACATTCAGTTCCTAATAATTAGCTACTGTATTAATTAGTAACTGGTGGTGAGCTCCCCGTCCCTAAAGGCAGAGGCTAGGGATCACTGCCAAGATTGTTGGACTCAAGCCTGGGGAGGATTCAAGAGGGTTCCAGTTCTGTCTTTGTTTCTCATTAGCAGTGTCCTTGGCCTAGTCACTCACCTTCTCTCTAAAATGAGGGGCTTGGCCTAGAGAGCAGAGAAAGCCGCTCTACCTACAACATGCTATGATGCTTCCTGTGCAGCTCTAAACACTCTAGGCATTAGCAGCCAGCCAAGAACTCAACACAGGCCCTTTGACTGTTGCACCATCCCTAATGCCGAGTATGGCCCACTGGGGAAAGGGAAAGGGCCCAGCTAAGCCTTCTGTTGACCTAGGGAAGCCCAAGGCCCAGCAGGGAAAGATGAGAGGAGGCAGGGAGGATGAATCTGGTCACTGCCTCTGGTGACTCAGGGGGTCTCTGTGGCACATCTGACTTCCAACGTTTTGCCCATAGCTCCCCATGCCTGGAACAGACTCTCCCATCTTCAAGGCCCATCTGACCCAAGAAGCCTTTTCCTCAACTGGTCCTCCTTGATCCACTCAGACCACTGGGTCACTCCTCCAGGGCATTTACTGGTTTTTCAAGCATTTGGAAACCTGTGTCATGGAATGAAAGGGGCTCTTAACATCTGGTCTGCAAAGGCTACAGCTCAAATCCTTGGTTGGGTAACAATGACTCTCCCACAGCTTTAGTTTCCTCAACTGTATAAAGTGGAATCATGGCTGTCTGACTCCCTTTTCAAAGTGGGTGTCAGGAATCTTACACTGAAGAGTGCCCCTGAAGGCCTGGCAGCTGGATATGGCATAGGAGGACCTGGGGACCTGCCTGGGCTTAGACCCAGGCTCCACCATGTGCTGCTGGGTAACCTCGGGCAACTTACAGCCCATCTCTGGGCCTCATTTCCTTCTCTGTTAAATGGGCCACATGGCCTACAAGGTCCCTTGTAGCCCTAAATCTATGATTCATGATGTGGTAAAAATGACCAGCAACTCAGATGGCTTTCGATAAGGACCCTAGGGAAGGCCAGCTCCCCAGGAGCGTGAGGTTCCAGGGCTGATCTGTGCAACCCAATGCCCCGTAGCTGCAATTTGGCGGAGAAACGGCAGATGGCGATGACATGAAGACAGAAGTCTGGCAGATGACCGCAGCTCCAAAGGGAAGAGTGGGTGCCATGAGGGGCAGTCAGCAGGGGCACGGCAGTGAGGACCTCCCTAAAGGCAGGGAGACATCTGACTCTGCCATGCCTTTGGGGATCCTGTTTCAGTTACTATGCTCCCTGGTGAATTAAAACAAAACAAGCCATGGCCTCACGGCTTGGGAGCCAGCGTCTGGAGGGCGCTGAGGTAGGGTCTGGAGGGCGCTGAGCCAGGGTCTGGAGGGCGCTGAGCCAGGGTCTGGAGGGTGCTGAGACAGGGCGCTCGCAGTCCAGGTGTGGATTTAGGAGCCTGCACTGAAGGCCGGCTCAGGCTTCCTTCATCCCCATCACCACCATCCAGTAAACTAAGTTTTCATTGACACAGTTGGTTTTTTTTACATCACCCTAATGTCTCCCAGTGTCTCTCCCTCTCCCCTCAGCCATCCCATACAGAACACAGAATTGTTTAAAGATAAAAAAGAAAAAGGGAAAAAATCAGCACAACCAATTAACAGCGGCTTCCTTAAGTTCAGCTTTAATCTGTGACCTCCGCAATAAACTAGAAACTCCTTTTTTTCGGCATTTAAGGCTTTTCCCAGCCTGGGTCCAGCTTATCTTTCCAGGCCGATGACACATAAATTTTCCTTCACCCAATCTACACTCCAACTCACATACACACACACACACATACACACACATATACACGTGCACATGCACATGCACACCCCTCCATTTCTCACCTTTGCCTGGTGCCCCCCTTCAGGGGTGGTTCTCACATCTGAGGCCACCACCAGCTGCCAGGACTTTCCCCTCCCCTAAAAAAGTTAGGTGATGTTTTTTTCATACAGATTTAGTATTGATTCATCTGTGTACATGCTGCCTCCCCCTCAGAAGGGAAGCTCCATTTGGTCAGGGGCCCCAGCTAGGACTGAAATTCCTGGTTCTCAGCCTTCCCTCAGAGCTAACCATGAAGAGTTTGCTATGGAAGAGCCACGGCGCTCGTTCAGGCCTAGAGCTTGCCCCATTCAGGGCCTCCTCAACACAACAGACACGAGGGGGAAGGTGGGGAGAAGATGCTTAATAAAGGTTTGCTTTGGTGATCTGAAAGAGAAAAGGTGACCACCCCAGAAACACAAACATCCTAGTCTCAAGTGAGAATCGGCCTCCAGAAGCCCCATGCCCTGTGCTGGTGAGCTCCTGGAAGCTAGACGCCCACAGGCCAGAAGCCAATGAGGAGAAATGTCTGCTCCAGAGCAGAGTGGCTTTGGGCGGATGTCCCACGGAGGCAGGAACAAAGCTCCCCTGGCTTTCAAAAATCACTATGAATAACCAACACCAAGAGGTTTCAGAGAACAAGGGAAAAATAACCTTGAATCTGTTTATTTTATATATAATATAATCACTAGCATTTGTATCTGTTTGCAAAGCACTTAACAAACGTTGATACACACACAACTACCCTGTGAGGTAGATTCCATTACTATTCCATGTTACAGATACGAAAACTGAGGCTGAGAAAGTTTCAGTGACTTGCGCAGGGTCATACAGGTGCAGAGTGTTTGAGGCGGAACTCAGGTTTTTCTGGAGCACCCAGCATTCCACCTCCCACACGCACCATGTAGGAATAAGACGCCTCCTCCCAGCCCCAACCCTTCCCAAACACCTGGTGACAGGAGCAGCAGTCAGGCCACAGGCCATGCCCAGAGTCGCACAGGGCCCTGGCCTTGGCCACTGGGAGCTTTCCGGTGCCCCCACACAACTGGAACAGACGCCCCACAACAGCTCCCAAGAACAAGAGCTAGAAAGGAAGACCAAAGAGACTGTCTAGGCCAAGACCCTCATCTGACAGAGGAGGAAACTGAGGTCCAGAGAAGGGAGGGGACCAATGAGACTTCAGTCACACAGGAAGAAAAAGGAGCAGAGCGGAAAGAGAAGCCCATCTCCTGCCGCTCCTGAGCCAGGGCTAACTGCTCTCCTTGGGGCCGCCCAGAGCCTCCAAAGCCAGGCACTCCTGGACCCAAGACACCACCCAGGAGACAGTTGTCAGGGGACGTGGAGGGTGGGCAACATGCAGAAAATTTCCACAAGGCCCAGAGACTTGTAGAAGACCACCAGAAATCTAGGCCACAACTGGCCCGGCTCTCTCTGGGTCCACTGGGTGGGCCAACGGCATCCCAAGACCTGGTGGAAGCCAGACTTACCCCAGCAGCAGGAAGGGAGGGGGAGGGGGGAAACGAAGAAGAAGGTACTCACAAGCTGCCTCTTCTCGGAAGGCTCAGCTCCTTCTAAAAAACAAAAGAAAGGTCCAAGTCAGAGAAGCGTGGCTCATCCAGAGGGTACTGATGGTTAGCATTTAGGTAGTTATTTTAAGGTTTGCAAAATGCTTTACAGATATGATCTCCTTTTCCCATAACAGCCCTGGGAGGGAGGTGCCATTACTGCCATCCCCATTTTACAGGTGAGGAAACTTGAGGTACACAACGAGCACTTAAGTCATCCTGACCATGGCACTGTACTCGCTGCCCTCCCAGCTGCCCACATGTGCATGTCTCAGACGGGCAGCGAAAGGGTGTGGACATGTCTAGTCTGGAGAAAAGAAGACACTGCAGCTGGGCTGGTCACACCTGGGCCCCGAGAGCGAGGGAAGGAAGGGGGCCCACACGGGGGCCGAGGGGCAGAAAAGCTAACTTCAGCCGGCCATCAGGAAGAACGTCGGCAGAGGGAGAGCCCTTCTAGGGTGGGGGGGGTGAGGTGGGCGGCTCCCCTCCTCGGCTGGCTGACCCCTTCTCAAATATACTATGGTGGAAATGCTTTTAGGGCCTGGGCAGAACCCCAGGGGGAGAAACAGAAAGGCCAGCGCCCACAGAGGCAGAATAAACAACCTAAACACTCATTCCCATCCTAGGAAGCCAGGAGGAAAGGGTCAGAAGGCCGCAGAGCTCAGGTTGGCCACCAGGGGGCAGCATCTCCCCAGCCAAGAATCCTGCAGTCTGGGTACCGGAGAAGCTCCAGGCCTGCCCAGGGTCTAGCCAGAGCAGCTTCCTGGGCCACGCTCTGGCCCATCCATCATCCCCAAGCCTGGAATGCTCTTTTACCACCACCTCACACACTCCCTGCTTCCTTCAAGATGCAGCGCCAGCCCTGTGTGAAGCACTTCCTGAGCTGCTGGTACCTGAGTGGATGGAGCACAGTCCCTGGAGTAAGACCTGAGTTCAAATCCTGCCTTAGACACTTACTACCTGGATGACCCTAGGAAATTCACTGAACCATTTCCTCAACTGTCAAATGGAGACCATAATAGCCCCTCTCTCCTAGGCCATCGTGAAGATAAAATGAACTTGGATTTGGAAAGAGCTTTGCAAACCTTAAAGTGCTCTATAAATACTGGCTTATTCTTATTCTTGGGGTAGCTAGGGGGCATCAAAGTGCACAGAGCACCTGGCCTGGAGTCAGGAAGTCTCAAAGCTTCCTGAGTTCAATTCTGGCCTCAGACACTCACTAACTGTGTAACCTTGGGCACGTCACTTAACCCTGTGTGCCTCAGTTTCCTCATCTGGAAAATGAGCTGGAGAAAGAAATGGCAAACTACTCCAGTGTCTCTGCCAAGAAAACCCCAGATGGGGTCACAAAGAGCCAGACGTGACTAAACAACAAAAATTCTTACTATTATTTTCCCCTCACCCATTAGTGCCCAGCCTCCCAAACATCCCTGTATTGAACCACTTTGTTTTTATGTATTTAATAAGGGTTAACCCACAGAAGACCCAGCAGAACAGACAGACCGAGATGGTGGATAAGGAATGCCCCATTTGCCATCTCCAAGAAAGACTGCAATTTCCACCCTTGGGTGGAAAAGGGGGAAGGATGTGGCTGGCAATCATCGCTTCATTCTCCTGTCTAAGAAGAGCCGCACCCAACATCTGCAGTCGAGGGGCGCGACGCTCCCAGGTTCAGAATCAAATCCACTTTTGCTGGTCCTCCAGGCAGGAAGAAGTCTCTCTCCAGACTGGACGGAGCCTGGTTAACCTTGGCAAAGCCAGCTTAGCTTCCCTCCCGCCACAAGCAATCATGGAGAGTGAACCAACACGTTTATCCCAATAGAAATCAGCATGTTGCACATGTCAGCGTGAACAGCAGCATCCACAGAAGGAGCAAGACGGAAGCTTGGCATCACCAAGGCGAGAAGTCCTTTGTGATCTCTGAAGAGGGCGGTGCTAGGCACCCAGGGGCCTGCTGGGGAGGCTCCAGAGCTGCTCTAACTGGGCCGGGCCATTCCAAAGGTCAGGCTCCTTCTGCCTCTCTCTGGAAGGCCCAACCCTCATGCTCAGAGGTCTCTCTACCCATCAGGGGTCCGCTCCTCCTCATGCTTGTGGTGCACAGCACCCAGGATCTGGGCAGATGGGCACAAATCCAGCTAATTATACAAACTGGCCAACTCCCCAGAACTTCCCTCACCCACTCCCCAGGGAACAAGCCTCGGGGGCCTGCTGGGCTCAGCACTGCTGGCATGGCTGGAGCTCAAGGAGAGTAACTGAATCCTCTGGCTGATGACAGGCCAAAATGTCAATTAGCTGCCTCCACTGTCTCCTGGCCAGGCTGCAGGCCTGAGGCACCAGGCCCAAGGCACCAAGGGTCCCATCCCCCTTTATCTCCTTTCTAAATAACTGAAAGAGGGGATAAAGAGTTCCCACTTCTATTGTGTTTAAGGGTCACAAATTACTTCATGAACATTAGTGGGGTACAGTGTCCAGGACGGGATGGAGGGCAGCCCCTGCTCCAATCCCAAACTGCTGTCATTCTGCCTCTTCCTCTGCCTTGCAACTCCAAATGTGCCCCTCCCATCCCTCAGTCCCTCAGTTCTTTCCCAGACCATCTCTGCAGCACTTCGCTGCACCTTCCCCACCTTGACTCCTTGGTGAACCAGTCCAGCTCTATACTGTCCTCTTCCCTTGAGTTCTTTGCTATCTTATTGTATCGCTAATTTTGCCCCACCAACACTCCTCTGGGATCACTCCCACCATCCAGTGCAGAAATTAACAAGCAGGTAGTGATTATATTACCTAACTCACCTGGGCCCTCACCACTGCCCAGCAATCCTTTAACACCTCCCTCATCAACTCCCTCTCCCACAGTCCACAGCAGCTCTTCCACAGTCTTCATTCTTACTCAAACCTCCCAAAGCTCCTCTACTCCCACCTTTTCACCTGAGAACCTAGCTTCCGATTTCACTGAGAACTCCCTCTTCTTACAGCACACAGATGCCTTCTGCTCCTCTCTCCTCCTTCACTCATCTCACACAAAGAGATGGCTTACCGAAGGGGCAGCCCCTCTACATGCATAAGTGATCCCATTCCATCCCTCTTCTCGAGCGCATCACCCCTTCCATCATCCCCACGCAGTGACCGATCTTCCATCTCTCCCTGTCTGTTGGCTCTTCCCCTACTGCCTACAAGCATGCTCATGTCTCTCCCATCCTCAAAAATCCTTTCCTCCATCCATGCATCCAAGCCATCATCCCACATCTCTGCTGCCTGAGCCTAAACCAGCTGCTGAGAAGGCCATCCACAGATGATGGCTCTGCTTCCTTTCCTCTCAAGATCTTCTTAATTCTTGATAATTTGACTCTCATCATTTAACAAAGCTGCTCTGTCCAAAGTTACCAAGGATTTCATGATTTCCAAATCCAATGACCTTTCTCAGTCCTCATCCTTCCTGACCTCTCTGTAGCCACTGATACTACTGATCCCCCACTTCTCCGTGACGCTCTCTTCTAAGTGCTGGTGACACAGCTCTCTTGAGGTTCTCCTGAGAAGCCCCCTCAGTCTCCTTTGCTAGATCTTCATCCAGGTCACATATGATAACTGGAGCTTTTCCATGGACATCTAACCTGGGTCCTCCTTTCTTCTCCCTTTATACCATTCTGCTTGCTGATATTTTCAGCTCCCATGGATTCAATTACCATCCCTATGTTGAGGATTTTCAAATATGCTTATTCAGTTCTAATCTCTCTGCTGACCACTAATCTCCCATCTCTGAATGCCCGCTGGAAATCGCAAACTGGGGGTCCCATAAATAACTCAAGCTCATCATGTCCAAAACCTCACTTGTGATCGTTTTCCCCTGAAGTTCCCCTCCTCCTAAAATCACTATTATTATTATTACAATACCTGTCCCTCTCTTCTCTGATACTACCACCCTGGCGCAGGTCCTCATCACCTCACTTAACAGCCGCTGGGGCCTGGGGCAGGGGGGTCCTGCTTCAGGTCTCTCCCCACTCCAGGCTCTCTTCTACATAGGTTGCCAAAGTGGTAATACTGCCCCCTGGAACAAACCAGGGGGCAGTATTTTTATGAAATGACACAAATTTCAAAAACAAAAAACGTTAAAGGGTTAAAGAAAATAGATTTTCAGGGGGCACTGAGTAATTTTCTTTAAAAGGGGGCAATAGGCCAAATAAGTTTGGGAACCCCTGCTTCTATCTACGCAGCTGCCAAAGTGATTTTCCTAAATCACAGAACCAGCCATGTCTCCCCTCCTCTTCTCTCTCTCCCCCCCCCGCCCCCTTTCCAACAGCTCCAGGATCAAATATAAAATCCTCTTCATAACCTGCTCCCATCTTTCCAGTCTTCACACATCTCACCCCCCACGCATACACTCTGCGATTCAGTGACACTCTTCAGACAAGACACTTCAGACCTCTGACTCCTGGACTTTTCACTGGTTTTCCTCCATGCCTGAGCCCCCCTTACACTTCTACCTCCTGACTTCCCACAAGTCCCCCATAACTCTGGTGCCTTCACAGTTGTTGTGGGCTGCCTCCTTTAGTGGACAGCAAGCTCTCTGAATGCAGGGACTGGTCTCTGCCTCTTTGTGTCCCAGGCACTTAGCACAGTGCCTGACACCCGGCATCCAGAATGACCCCTTTCATTACAAGGAGTTGTCTGCTTCCTGTCTCCTAACTCTCAGAGTTAACTAGAGCTCTGTTCCCATTTCCTTGGCACAGTAAGGAGCTTCTCCAGGCACCTCGGATGCTCCAAGTCTGTGGTTCTGTGAAACCTGGCACCCAGAACTGCACAGGCCTGGCAGATCTGTTGCTCTGGTCCCAGCTGAAAATGAGACACCCTGGGTGATGGGTGCTTAGTCAACATACAGAACGTAGCAGCCGCCTGCCCAACCTACCAAGTAAATAGAAGAGATTCCCTATTCATTCTGCATACATTTATTTCTGTGCATGCTGTCTCGCATTAGAAGGGAAGCTCATGAGGGCAAGATCTCTTCACTTCTG